TGGTTCGCTCTTCGGCGGCATGGTTGGGGTTGCCTTCTTAGTTGCTGGAGCGATGGTGTCCAAACCTTTTAGCGCGGCCTCGAAGCACCTCCGGGTGGCCTCGATGTCCCCGTTCAGGGTCACCATGGCCCCCCGCTTCGTGTAGTACTTTATCTTTAGGTGGACGGTGGAAGGCACCGCGGTGAGTTCAACTATCGTCGTTCTGTCCAGGATACAGTTGTAGAAGGACGGGCACTCGATGACTAAGAAACAGATGTTGATCTCCCTGGTCGTTTCCTCTTCCCCGAAAGTGACTTTCAGCTCCACGTACCCCCAAGGTCTCGTCGTCGTCCTGTTGAACCCCTGAAGGTCGAAGCCTACGTAAGGGAACAGGTTGGATTCGTCGAGTTGGAGGGTCGTGAAGAGGTGGGTGTACATGATGTCCACCGAGCTGCCTCCGTCGACGAGGATGCGTCTGTCGTCGAAGTTCGCCATCCGCGCCCGTCTCAGCAGGGGGATGTTGGAGTTAGAGGAGCCCCCGGGGAGTTCCTCGAGGTAGAATGTGATCAGATTAGATCGATCGCGAAAATTTTCGAGCATGCTCATCTTACCGGAGTTGCTTGTGATAAGCTCGTCAAATTTTCTTTTCACCGATCCTATGGACAAGTTCCTTGTGGCGCCGCCCGAGATGACCATGACTCTAGCAAAGTATTCCCGTCGGCTGGTTGGTCGTACCGGCTCGCTGGGTAAGTCGGGGCCGCCGGGGAGGCCGAACTCTCTGTCCGCGAACCAGTCCTCGGGGCGGCTGACGCGCAGTGCGACCTGGAGTCCATTGTCGCCGTCGGAAGAGGGGAGCTCTTCGACTTTCTTGGCCTCGGGGGCTTCTTGCCTCGGGGCCTCGCCCCCCCGGGTGTATCTCTTTAGGTGGCCGTCCTTAATCAGGATTCGACCGCGTCCTTGAGATGGATGCAGTCTTTTGTCACGTTCCCGTGGCTCCTGTGGAATCGGCAGTATTTCGACTTGTCCACATTGGGTTTGGGGGGCGTCGGCCTGGGGAAGCGGACACCTCTCTGGGCAAATTCAGTTTTTGCGCACTCGGCCAGTATGCACTCGCGGGAAGCGGTTAAGGTCGTGTATTCCGTGAATCGGCCGGCGGGGCCGCGCTGTTTGCGTTGTTCACAGGGGCGATCTTCCTGACGACGGTCACCTCCCCGCCGCTGGCTTGAGGCTCCGTCATCTCGGTGCCCGCGGGGGGCCTCCCTGTCTCGGGTGTCTCGAGCGGAGTTGGCTTCTTGGGTTTCCTCGAACCGGATATAATGCGCGACTCTGTCAAGGAAATCCTGCAGAGAAGCTGGTCGGTGTATGCCCACAGCCTCGTAGAACTTGGAGTCGCGGCGTAGACCCTGCTCCATTAGGTAACGTTTCATCTCGTCTGACGTCGTTACCTACACTGCTTCCCGTGTGAATCTTTCAATGTACTTTCGGAGAGGCTCGTCGGGGGCTTGGATTATCGCGCCGAGGGCGGCTTCTGTCTTCGGGTGGCGTCGGGACGCTGTGAAGTGTTTTGAAAACAGGTCCTTCAAGACCCTCCACGACGTAATCGATTCGGGCTCCAGACTTTTGTACCATGTCATGGCGCCTTTCCTTAGGGTCGTCGGGAATAACCTGTACTTGATAACTCCTCTGACGTTTCGGTAATCCAGCATGGCCTCAATGTCTTCCAGGTGATCGTCCGGGTCGGAGGTACCGTCGTACGTCGAGAGCGTCGGGGGCTTCTCCATCCCGTGGAGAATGGGGGCGGCCATGATTTCCCGGGACAAGGGAGTCCTGTAGTCATCTTCGTCGCTGAGAGCGGGTGACCGAGGAGGAGATGGGCCGTTTAGTATAGGCACCTGGTTTCGGGTCCTCGACCTTCTGACCGGGGGCTCGACGCGCGGATGCTTGGTCGGGATTGCTGCCGTGTTCTGCCGCCTCCCGCGAACTTGTCTTGTCGGGGATTTGGTGCGCTCCCGCACTACTTCCGTTCGGGGCCTCTCCAGCCGAGGTCGTCGATTTCTGGGTTGAGGCGAGGGACTCCTTGAGCCCACATTCTGGTCTTCCCGCGGAGGGGGCCTTGGGGGGACCTCCCGCTCCAGCGTTCCAATTCGTGCATTCTGCTGAAACAATAGATGGTTCGTCTGGTTGATGGCCGCAAAGAGGGCGGCCACCGTTGGGTCCGCTTCCGCCGGGACGAGAACGAGATGGAACGCTGCTGGGCTCTGGGGCCGGCGGTCAGACTGGTGTGTCGGTTCTGCGGACGACGGAGACGCAGTCTGGCCGTCTCTCTCGTCAGTCTGCGCTGGGCATGACGTCTCCGTCTGCTTGCTATCGTTGGCGGCGGGGTTGAGCATGAAGTTGTGCACGATATCGTCGTGGCGTGGGCTAGCCATGATCGTGGAGTGTTGGTGAAACTTTGGTTATCTGCTCGGAGTAATGGGGAAGTTTTCGTTCCCACAGACGGCGCCACTGATCTGACCTGATCAGAAAGGGATCACTAGCTGGCCACACTCTGTTGGACTGCTGCCTGTTCACCGGTGAAGAGGAGGAGGGGGTGTACCTGCAAGACACTCCGATGGCAAAGTGAGTATATGGGCAGAGTGGTCACAAGCACAGAAAAGGGGTAAGAAGTGAATTACCTGACCCTCTTGAGGAAGAGGGTATTTATAGAGAGACCCCAGCGCTAGGCCAAAGGTCACTTGCGTTGGGCTGGATTGCCAGGCCTAACCCAGGTGACTGCTAGGGCTTACGTGGCGTAGTGAAGACCAGGACGTGGTCTTCGCCCTAGTCCAACTGTCCCGAGATCTCCGGAAAATGGGTTTGACCCGCTCTTTCGGAGGTGGGCAGTTGTCTGGTGACGTGTCCCCGCGGAGGGGGGCACGTGGAGAACGTGCGTATGGCACGTTGTCCTCCCCGCGGAGGGGAGCTCGCGAGGTTCCTCGGAGGTGTGTCATTCTCCCCGCGGAAGGGAGCACACGAGGCGTGGAGGAGACACATTGCCTTGCTCGACGACATGGGGGTTCTGCCCGAGGAGGGATAGTCTGTCCGGCGAGAGGAGAGCGCAGAGGGCGTCTTAAGGCACGCCGTCCTGCTCGACGAGAGCATGCCCTGCCCGTCGAGGGGGGTCGCGTGCCCGACCAGCCTGCTTAAATCATATTGGGTCTTGGTTGTGCATCGGTGGACTGGGCCGTGAGGCGAAGCCGGGCCCAGACCAGAACAAGTATTTTAAAGGTCCGTGTTGTGTTGTTCAATCTAATACTTACCATTTTGCAAATTAAACACACTCTAAAAATAATATAAATCAATTTTAAAAAATATTTAATTGATTAAAAAGCAATTATAATCAAATAAAAAATATAAATTCATTATCTAATTGATTATAATTTTCGTCTAATCAATTAAGAAACACGTTCGACTCCTAATCAATTAGGAAGTCCTTTTAATAAATAAAAAATATGTAACAAATTAAAAAAAAAATTCGGATTTATTTTAATTGATTAGGTTGTCCTTTTTAATTGATTAGACATCTTCCAAATTCATGATTTATTGGCATTTTGAGATAGATAGAGAGTGAAAAAATTTGAAGAGAGGAAATATTACTATTTTTAAATAAAAATAAAGTAATATTTTAATATTTTAAATAGGTTTTTCTCATGATTTTTTATGGATTTCTTTAATTCCAATTTTGTGCAGTATTGTTATAATTTTTAAATCAAACACCAAACAAATTGAAGTTTTGATATCGTTTTTCAACAAATCAAATGCACCTTTAATTAATATTAGTGAGTTGAATTAAATATTTTTAATATCATCATTGTAATTAATAATTTTATTTTTTATTTTTAATAAAATATTAATAATCAATTATAAATACTTGTTAAGATTAGAATATGCCATAAGTATGTAAATTACGTGCCATCGAACATATTAAAATTACCGTGCCACCCTTTCCTCTTCGCATTATATTTGGACTCTTTTTAAAAATGAAAATTATGTTTTATCTACAAATCTACACCCTCCCCTCCCCTGTCTAGAATTTAAATACAAAACCTATTTTTAATATTGTAGTACTTCTTTTCTTTTTAAGAAGAAAAAAAACACAAACAAATCAGCTTGAAGCTCCTAGATGTGAGTGAGACAAACAAAAATGATTCTTTAATATGAAACAGAGATGAGAAGAATAAGCACAAATATTGAACCGGAGAAACCATTGTCATAATTCAAAATTATTTGCTTCTTTAATTTCCATGGCCATCTTCAACACCTCTTCTCTAAATTGGAAGAAATGGCAAACAGGAAAAGGAAAAGCTTGCTGGAATTTATAACTTTCAGAACATGGAAGTTAAGTGACTAAATTAAAACATAATTAAAATTTTTACTCATCTATTTTAATCTTATGATTAAAAATAATTTCTCACTCACGTAAAAACATACACACGTGTTTGCTTCACTGTCCTATATTTTAAACATTTGTTGTTATAATGCTCGTGTCAGTAGTCATACTTCATAACTAAAACAAATGTAGCTAGTGTTACACAACTTACAATATGGGACATCTAGTTTAGTGATCATTAAGGAACATTATTTGTACGATTTTGCCTACGGGAAGCACAAATTATGCTCATTGGTAGATGTTTAACATATTTTGCCTTTCCAAACAAAACTTATAACAAGAGACAGATGTAGACGTAGTAGTTAGTACTAAGCCTTTTTAAAGGAGAGGGTTCTATATATATAAGACAGAAAAGATGACAAAATCAGATGGATACTGTTACACAAAATAGCATGAAAACATATGTGACACAAAATAGCATGAAAACATATGTAACGGTAAGAAGACAACCGGCAACGCCTCATACTGAGACAGACTCACGGCCAAAAGAGCCTTCTCTTTTTCTAACGAACTTGAGTAAAATATTATTGAACTAACACAAGACTGCCATTATACTGTATACAGTCCTATGCATTTAAACTCATTGGCTTCCTCACAAGTCCTCTGGGCCATTAATTTCCTGCACATACAATTCAACCGTTAGGTCAATCAAAACAAAAATAAGCCTTAGTGGCTTATTCCACTAGATGGAGTTAGCAGCACGCCAACATCCTTTGGACAAAAAAAAATCACGTATAGTAGTTAAATACCTTGTTTTCAATTACAGCTCCGTCAGGAATTTCCAGCTTTACGCCAGATTTGGCAACAATACTGACTTTCCCCTGTTTAGACATCAGAAAAACAACAGAAATCAGATAATAAATATTACGAAAGAATGATTATTGACTGTCAGAAAATAAACTGAGAACCTCATCAAAATAATTTTGGGGTCAGTTAGTACATCAATGAAATAATGTTCAAACTAAATTCTGGTCTATATAGTCCTTTATTCAGTTTTTGGGTCCCTATAATTTTATTTCTTGGGTATAAGGATCACACTTACAAAGTTTAACAATAGGAACCAATCCAATCAGTCTTAAAAGAGTAAATATCTAATTGATCAAAAAAATTATAGCATTGTATCGGTCTAATATCTCATATCATCTCTCTATTGATATTTGCAGTTATTATGAAAGTGAATAATACCATAGATGCATTTGATAACAAATAGAAGCAGATTGACAAGCGCTGAATAATTTTAGCAATTCTAGTAAGTCTCGCGCGCTTCAAATGAAACAAAATCCTATAGAAAGAACACTCATGAATTAAAACCACAATACCTTGAGGATGACACCAGCTCCAAACCATACATCGCCAGCCACTTTTACACTGTCAAGCTCAACGATACTAGGAATTGACTTGAAGCGGCTCAAGAAGTTGCTAACCTGTGAAGGAGGCCAAGTAAATTAGTATTATAATGATCAAATAACACATGGTAACCTGTAATATAGATCTTAACCTTCTTAAATTCAGGCCCCAGTTCAATAGCAGGGTTTTCAGGATTAGCCCTAGCTGGGTTCCGAATGACAGATCCATCTTCCAAGGTGTAGAGGTCTGACTGAAAAAAGAGACAACAAATCATGTCAAAAAAGTGACTAAAGGCTGATTCCAAGCAAGTAGTCATGCCTTGTGTCAGAAAAGCTTAGAACCTGGACAAGAAGCAAATCTGAAGTTGCCTTCACTGGAAGGAATCGGGATCGAGGAACATTAATCCCAATAGCCTTGTCAAAGAACTGTTAAAAAATGTGAAATTAATAGCACTAAAAGGAAGTGATAGCAGAGAGAACACTATATGTTAATAAACAACAGGTACCCTTATTGCTGCACCAGCAGCAGTTTCCAGCTGAAGAACTTTTACTCCATCAACTTCCTAGAAATCCATAAATTTTGTGGGCAATTTAACAAGTCAATATATTAGTCAAACAACTGACTCACGGTATAGAATCCAGCCCACGTTAAGTGAAAATAAAGAAATTCAGAGTATCACTTGAAAAATAACCAATCTGACCTTTGGATTGGGAATAATTTCCATCTTAAGGGCATCAGCTTCGACGAGTCTTTTGATTGCTTTCAAGTTCACCCACCTGTAGACTATTGTCAATACCTACTTATACATGTTTAATTGAGTCTTTTGATTGCTTTCAAGTTCACCCACCTGTAGACTATTGTCAATACCTACTTATACATGTTTAATCTTGTTAAAGAATGTGGTTGGGCCTAACTCAACCCTACAAAATCAGTTGGTAGAGTGAGGATTGCTCCCACTTGAGAAATGTGGTTGAATCTAACTCAACCCTACAAAACCAGTTGGTAGAGTGAGGATTGCCCCCACTTATAAACACATGTGGGACTCTTAACACACCCCCTCACAATCAGGACTAGACAACGTAGAGTAAGGATTGCCCCCACTTAAGAAATGTGGTTGGACCTAACTCAACCCTACAAAACCAAGAGTGAGGATTACCCCCACTTAAGGAATGTGGTTGGACCTAACTCAACCCTACAGAACCAGTTGGTAGAGTGAGAATTGCATTGCCCCCTCTTAACACACCCCCTCACGATCAGAACTAGACAACTGAAGCGTGGAAATAAATGGTGGGTGGCCCGATAGCAGAAACCATAGAAGATGGCCCACCGGATTTTAAACCAGGCTCTGATACCATGTTAAGAAATAGGGTTGGGCCTAACTCAACCCTACAAAACCGGTTGGTAGTGAGGATTGCCCCCACTTATAAACACATGTTCATGCTATATATTGTCTGATGTGGGACTCTTAACAAATCTAAAACAATCAGGCACTAACCATCAAAACTTACAAATTATTTGTGTTGAAAATTTTAAACTTCTCTATTGACTTGAATTCACCAACCTGCACAGAGAATAGCATTTCATAGGAAAAGAATGATTAGCAAATCTTTTCTTCACTCTCCACAAAAGTTCAGGCTTAATACCATCACTTACAAACAAGTCCATGCCACCATATATTGTATTGAAATAATTGCAAAAGTATGTTCTGTCCCTTTAACTATATTATATGGCCTTAAATCATTGGTGTGAATATTGTATGAGTTTCAATTAAAAAATGTAAAATGTTCACAATTGTGGTTTTATACTATCAAAAATTATAACAGCTTGTAAACAAAAAGATGCCATGTAATTGCTTTGACATAAAATTAAGAAATCCCTATCAGCTTTGATTTATAGGAAGTTTCCTTGACATTAGATACTAAAGTAACAGCTGACACTGTACATGCCATGTAGTAAATGATCAATACTCCAAAATAACTTGTACATTATTTTCAAATTCAACCTTAAAAATTTTAAGCAGGGAAAGATAGTAACACTTCAATCAAAATGAGAAAAACAATCATGATTTATATGAATTTTCTAAAAAATTTGTTGAAAAGGTTTAACCAAAGACATGACTACTCTAGTAAAATAAGTAACACATCAGTTCAACTTACAGTTCTTCACCACAAAAGAAAATGAAATTAAAAAAAACTCAACATCTCAGTCTATATATTAATGCTTAACTAAAATGGTTGCCTAAATTTGGGAGAGATGTGATCTGAGAATAAGAGACAGATTAGTAACTTACATTTTCATCTGCGACTTGTGCAATTTCCAGGAGCTGCATTAAAGAATTGATCAGATGAAATATTGCTATCACTAGAGTACTAAATTAACCAGATAAAATATTGGTCAGAAAAAATTAAATCAGCAAAGTTACATGCCTGAACCCTTCCTTCATAAGAAATCAAAGTGCCACCCTTAACATCAGCCAATGTTTTGGGAGTTACCTGCATAATAAGAACATAACATTATTAAACTAGTGCAAGTCTAAAAGATAAAAGGTACTGGATAACAATCATCTTTTCTTACCTCCATACAGTATTCATTCTTGTGCTCGATCAGATGGTTTAAGATTTCTAAATCAATGAGTCAAGCACACAGATAGAACTAAAGGCATAATTTTTATGTGACTAACAGTCATAAACAATTAAAAAATTAAGAACCAATGGAAACTTAATTTAGGATACTCAAGTCAACTATAGCTCCCAAGTTATCTGAATTGGCAACAAACACATACTCTTTACCCTGCATGAACAATAGGGAAAAAGAAAACAATAGTGATGATAATGGTCATAAAAATAAATAAAAGACAGTTCATCTATAAACAATTTGAACTCTTGGTTGACCTGTGATAATAGTGCATCAAGTTTTCCACTGTTCGATAATGATGGGAAGACATCCCCATGACCAGGAGGATACCTGAGCACAGAAATTACTCATAACTTCAAAAGCCAGAATTTGAATTCTATTTGCAGATAGGCTCAAGGATAGTTTCAACAAGCTTGAACACTTTCTACAAAAAAAAAAAAAATTCTACGGAAAAATAAATAAAACAACTGTAAGTCAGAGGTACCATATCATATACTTCCTCCGGTCACTATTATAAGCAAAGATCCATTCGTTGAATAATTGATGTATTCCCTCTCTATATAGTTCAGTTACTTCAATTATTCAATGAACTTGAAAAGATAATTTTTGTATATAATAGTGACCAGAGGACGTACAACCTAACTAACGTTGTTAGTCACGGTAGACTAGTGGAATCTCGATACACTAGAATTGTAGGCTTAGTACAGAAAAATGTTTAAAAACTAATCGCCAATTATAGTGGTTAACTTAATCTAATACAACGTTTGCAGTAAATATTCAACATTCTAATTTAGTAATAAAGCATACCGAATAATAAAAGTAAATGTTCCATAGATAGTTTGCAGAAAATAAATTAAACTAAGATGGATTCATAGACCAAACCAAATTACACAAATATATCACAATTCAAAATTGATGCATAAACTCAAAAATCACTAGATAGTTTGCACAAAAATAATTTAGTTATTGCGTTAACTCGACTTTGATACCCAAAGTTGTAAACACACAATTTTTTTTGAGGTTAGAGTTTCACATCTATGAACATAACCATAACATGATATTATTAGTGTCTAAGACGCGTCGTTAATATGACATCACTTTGAACCATGACAGTCCAAGCCTCACACTCATGTCAAGCATGTAACTTATGGCCCCAAAAGTTCAAGGAATGCTAAAACGAGACTTTACAAAGTACCAATATTTCCCCAAGCAAAAAAAGTTAATTCTATCCAGACCACTTATCAACAAAATAGCATACACATGTTCAATGAATCAAATAGTGTATATGGTTATTGAAGGAAACTAAGTGCTACACTTCTCTTCATAATTTAACCAACAATATAAAAATAAAGGAAATATATAAGTTGTTGCTAAAACCTTTGATTTATGGGAAGAAACATCATATCACGCTATGTGGCTTTGACATCAAAGATCATTATATAGACAAATATTATACCTTCTTCTAAGAACCAAATACGTTTTAGTTCATCTTTAGAGGTTTCTGCTGTCTGATTTAAGGAAGAATAGATTTATAATTATTTTGTTATACGTATAATAAACCAACTATTTGACGTTTTAAGAAAAACTTCATACAGGGGGGAAACAGAGAATTTAAGTAATGCATCAATATGTTACCCTGAACAATCTTGTTTTAAGTCAAATCTTTGAGAGAAGAATTTAGTTTCTATTTGAATGACAACTAGAGGTCTGAGCAAACAGCAATTACAAATCCATAAATAGGACACATGTTGGTCAGGATCCAAGATATATTCAAAGAAACCAGCTTCAAAGAATTTCGTATTTAAAAAATGATAGGTTTATCTGAGTGCTCCACACTAATTAGGAGCTTTACATAAAAAGCCATCCACTTTAATCATTTTCAGAGAGATTAGCATGAATTCATTTAGAATCTTAGATGCATGTCTATATTGATCACTTACCAATTTATCAGTCAATTAAAAAAAACACAAAAATGATGTAAATCGAGTGAAAGCTGTGAAAAATAAAGCAAATAAATACATACCACCCATCCTTGCCAGTGTTCCCTTTCGAAGGCAATGGTAAAAAGTCATCAGCAACCAATCGAGGATATTGGCTCTGCAAAAATTCGAATAGTGCAACAAAACATCAAAACAAGAAGTTAAAAGCTCGAAGTCCAGAAAATCCATAACATAGTAAAACCAGAACTTAAAGTAACAAACCTGGTTAAAAGTATGAATATCAATATTCGAGTTTTGGTATTTTTCAACAATCTACAAACAGTCATACAGTCAGTTACATGTAAATTTGAGTTACAGTATATTTCTATTCAGTAAAGTGGATAATAGGGACAAGTACCTTTTGGGTGTCGTCATGAGTGTTGAATGAGTTCATCAAAAGCAAAGGAACATTGCTCCCATATTTGGAATTGAGATTCTACAACAGTTGAATTTATCAGTGGAAAGCCCACACGGAAAGGGGGAAAAACAAATTAAAAATCAAGCAAAAATAAGGCCAGAAAATAACCTCAATTTGGATGACAATCAAATCTAAAAAAGTCAGTCCATCACGAACTTCAATGACGGATCTGCATTTCATTTGCATAGAATTAACACTTACACACAAAAACAGGTTACCATAAAGAATGATCTAAGACAATAAAACAATCCTTCAAAAATTTATCCCACCACAGCTCATCAAAATGATTCTCTACTTTCCTTCGATTCTACATTAAACATATTGAAAAAATAGTTCACTTTTTCCTTAAATAAATAGAGTAATCTTTTGATCAGCATCAAGTTCTAAACACATGACATTAAAAATCAACCATATTCATAAACCGATCTGAATAACAAATCTTGAATTAAATTTCACACATAGCCTCCAAAGACATACTTTGGACCAGTGCAACCCATAGTTGTCCCCAAGCCTCCGTTAAGCTTCAACACCACAAGCTTATCCAAAAGATTCTTAATCTCAGAAGAACCTGAAAAACGATTCAGTTTCGCGTAAATAAAACAAAATCATTCCATCTTAACATAACACAAGTTACAAAATCAAATCATCAAACACAAAACAGAAAAAAAGATAATCTGTAAACATTTACCAGCAGGAGTTGGCGCCAAAGTGTCATAAGGCACAACGACTTCATCAGTAGGCGTCTGGATCTTACTCCATTCTACATGTTGCGCTTCGCCGCTACAGCACATTCAAATCAATAAATCAATAAATACAAATAAATAAAGGATCTATTGCACAGAGAGAAAAAAAACAAATAAACCAATAAATACATCATTAAATAAATAAATAAAACGATTTATATAAACTTCTCAGGTGAAATCAATCAATCACAGATCAAAATGTGAAACTCGAATCCGTGATTTATTTACCTGAGATAACGAGAGACGAGGTTGATGAATCCGTTTTTCTCATTCTCACTACAACAAACAACACAGATCAGATTGAAATCATAGATCGTGAAAACAATCAACAGATTTGATGATTATCAACGAAATTGAGAAAATGTGATACCTGATTTGCTCCAATCCAGCGACGGAGGATTTGAGATTGTCGAGGTTGGTAGCGGTAGCGGTGGCAGCCATTGGCGAGGAAGGTTCGAGAGAGTAGAGAGAAGGGAAGATACGATTGAGAGGCTATGTGTGTGGAGACAAGAGAGCGAGAAGAAGGTGATGAATGTGTGAATGATGAGAGGTGTGGTGTTTAATACTCCTTGTTGATATGTGGAAATGCTGTAAGAAATTGACACGAGAACAAAAACGCTCGTGTGTCAGTGTAGATTAATTTTGGACTGAAAGAATATGCTTTTGTATTGCACCGGAAAAATAATAAATATTTTATTTTATTGCATGCACCGGCTTGCAGGTAGTAATACTACGCTGTCAGATGATGCTCTCGCCCAATCGTGGAAAACAGTGGCGCATCTTTCACGCAAAGCTAAAGTGCCTATTTTTGTATTCCGTTACAAATATTTAATTTCATAAACATACCACCATTAACCCTTAATATTTTTTTAATGACAAATACATTTATTCTATTAAAAAGTCAATTTTGTCCATGCCAAATCATCCATTTATTCAACATCACCAATGAATTCCAACAAGCCATCTGTACACGAATTTAAGAGGTAAACAATTTAACCTTTCTATCACATTTCAAACCGTATTTATTTCTTGTCATCTTCTTCCGCTCTATTATTTTGTTTAGTTTCTTCCTCACCTTGGGTTTATTTTCTTCTTCATTGTAGTCTGAATCTTGCTTTTTCGACATTTCCATGTTTTTCCTCGCAACGCACAACGTAACCCCTGCTTTTTCGAAACTAACCATAGCATTTAGCATCTTACTTTGAAAATTTTACATGGAAGTTCTGTTTCAAATTGCTAAAGCTTGTTTCGGTTTTTTCGTTGTTTAAGTTGTTTCAAAGTTTTCATATATTTGCCTTTAAGTCATAACACGTTATTTTTTTTACTGTTTTACTTATTGTGTTTATTTAGTTGCATTTTGTGTTGTCTTTGTGCAAGCATATCAGTTGAAATTTGTGTTGGTTTGTATATCTTGCTTTCTATATGTTTGATTTTGTTGTTAACATTACAGTTGGTGTTTGCTCTTAGCATAACAACTGACTTTTGTGTTTTTTTTCACTCATATGCTTTCAAACTACCATATCATACTTTTTTTGCAACTGATATCTAGTATGACAGCAAATATGTTCGTTTGGATATTGTTGTGTTCCAAACTTTTTCAAACTTCCCATAGAACTTGCTTTATGTCATAACACACTGTTTTGAGAATTTTTTACTTATTGTGTTTCTTTAGTTACATATACTGTTGTATTTGTTCAATCATATCACTTGTACATTTCTGTAGGTTTGTGTTCATTAATGACTAATTTGTGATACATGTTTTCAGTTGTGTTGATTGTTGCATTTTGTTTCATACTTGACAATTGATTATAGCTCCTCTATGCTAGATGCCTAAGCCTCCAATATTTGTGAGTGACCTTAAGATAGGGAACCATGTTTGAAAGATGGCGGTTAGAATTTACGATTTGTGGACTATCAAAGAGAGAAATATCCAATTGCATTTACACATGATCAATCAAGATGTTAAGGTTTTAAACTCTTCAATACTTATTGTATTATTGGACTTCAGTAAATTTCTTATGTTTACTAATCACATGAACATCGTGTAGGATTTTCAGATGCAAGTCATTACGCATCTAAGATACGCATGACAAAAAAACGCAAATTCGTCCGGACCCGTCCCAAAATTAACTGAGAAAATACAGTTTAACTGAATGCGGATGCGGGTAAAATCCGATTTTTTATTACGGATGCGGGGGTTGGGGCGGAGGATGCTACTACCCGCCCCGCACCCAGTCTCGCCCCTGCCCTAATCTGTTTTAATTTACTTTTATGTCTCATTTTAATTATTTTAATATACATTTATTAGAGTTATTTTAATTTTTAAAAATAATTTTACTAGAAAAACATGTTTATTTAGTAATTTTATTCTTTAAGAACATGTTTATTATTAAAATAATTAATTATTTAATTAAATTATTAATTTTTATTGTTATGAAAAAATCTTTATTTAAAAAAAATAGTTTTGTGGGTGGAGACGGGGCGGGGGCGAGGAACCCGTTTTTCATCGGAGGCGGGTCTGAATGGTAGTTTTTTACTCCCGACTGAGTGCGGAGGTAGGTCTGTCTCAGAGACGCGAGTGCGGGTCCGGGGTTGCTTAAATCCGCCTCCGACCCACCCCGTTGTCATGCCTAATCTAAGAAATTACAAATATTGGACAAAAAGGTTGACTAAACACAAAACTTATACATTGTATAACGGTAACCATTAAAAAATGATTTACCATTCAATTATTCAAATAATCACCTCAAGTTGTTGTTCTCCATTACAACCACTCTTATTAAGAATGATGTTCAGACCATACCTGCTCACAAATTCAATTTCAAACCTATCTCTAAATTTCTAAATGGGACATTTAAGGCTGAGTTCTTATATTGTAAATGGATTATCACTTCATTACAAATGCCTACAATATTTTGGCTTCAATTTATTACATTTCATTACTAATATTTGTTCCATTCATACGTATTAGATGTAATTAGAATCTTGCATGTGAGGTTATCAGGAAACCGTCTATAACACCTTTTTAAACTCCACATAGAATTCACAAATAATTTAATTGGAATCATCACACAAGGGCGTCACACGTCATAAAAACATAAATCAGTCATGCTCCGTAACACGGGTTATAAAAATAATATTAACTTTTCATAAACATTCACATTTATAATATTTTTGCAACTTATTATTATATTAAAAATATCGCAGTGGAAATCGTCATTAAAATAATAATTCTCAACTTTCAATCTCGTGACATCTAGTCTCATAAGAGAATTGAAATAGAAATAGTTCAACAATTCAAAAATCCTTGCAAAGGTTCCAACATAGATATAACAAAAAGAATTCAATTAAGCATCTCCAACCCGATGTTACATATCAGAGTAGGACATCTCTAAATTAGCGGTAACTACTAAAATGCTCTAATGAGCTATCATTCTTACTTCATTAAGCTACTTCGGAATATGTGCACGTTATCCACGTGGAGGCAACATTCAAACAAAAGGGGTGAGTAATCATAATTAATTATAATAGTCATAAGAAAGAATATATTGCAACAAGTTAACAACATTAACATATCAATATATCATAAACTCACACCTAAACATCATAAGTAACTCATCTACAACTTCCATCACAAGGCTCGCATATAATCACATAACATTCACAGGTATCACCACATCATATAACACCAATAAAATTATACAATGCTACATAGAATGCTAATGCAACATCATTGACTCAATGCATGTGCTGCCAAATTAAAAACAATTAGGTTCATTTTACTCCATGATCCCCACCATAGGATCAATTCCCTATTGAAACCAAATCACACTAAAACCACTTCACTAATTCTCCATAATGAGAATTAGCTACTCGCACTAGATCCATCATAATGGATTGAGGCTTATAAAACTCGTTACCATCACCAATAGTAACACTTCAATAATTCCCATAATAGAAATTAGTTACTCGCACCTGATCCATCACCATAGGATTAAGGCTCAACAAAAATAACCAAAGTTCCGACAACATGGATGCATGGACTCTCAACATGCAACAATACATACACATTGGCCCCTCTTCTGACCGTGTATGACATCATAAACACATCATCCATATATTATAACATGCACATCATTAAAACATCATCACAGTACCATCATTAACATCACATCAACATCATTGCAACACCGCTCAAGTTTTATCATTTACAACAAGATATCATAGCGCAACATACAATTACACACCTTACAATATCATTACATATCATTTAAATTATTTTCAGTAACAAGAAACTATTTTTAAATAAAAATACATTGTCTCAGCTTTTTAGAGCTTCAAACAGCGCATCAATCGGACACCCGGAACTAAAGTTATGAATTTTTAAAGTTTTTCTGATTTTTTCTCCCAGCGTAATTGATTAACACAAAACCGGTAATTGATTACACTCTCAAAAATCCAATTTTCACGTTTTAAGTGGTAACCAGTTACCATATTTAGTGTAACTGATTGCACCTGCTATAAAAGCACTTTTTCTGCAACTTTTTATACGAAAATCACTTTTGAACCCTCCCAAAATTCAATTCTTCTTATAAATCGTTTGAAACACATTTTAACACGAAAAAACACTTTTTTAAAGTCCTAAACCCCAAATCTTTTTCATCAAAATTACTCATAACCTTGTTCCGACTCTGACTTGTGATCACATACCACAAATGAAGGTGAAATAATACTTAGAAGGGGGTTGAATAAGTATGAAAGATTAAGACTTTAAAAATAATGACACAGTTATTTTTATCCTGGTTCGTTTAAAACAACTACTCCAGTCCACCCTTCCTAGAGTGATTTTCCTTTCTCAACAAGGACTTAATCCACTATTTAATCAAACAGATTACAATAGTAACACCTAAAAACAACTGTTCTTAGTCTTCTCAAGAGCTACTGATTCCAACTGAATCCTCTTAAGGAAAACCTTTACAATCAATGTAAATCAAATACAAGAGTATTAATGCTTCTATAAAGCTTTTATCACAACAGTGATTTTTCTCTTAAGTTTAAGTACAAGAATTTCTAAGAAGAATATGAAAGAATGAGAGCTTAGAATAATATGATTTCTTTTCAGCAAATTGTGTAACTGAAGAATGTTGTGGAGTCTTCCTTTTATAGGCAGCTAATCCAAGGATGCTGAGCATTGAAAAGAGAGACCCAAAAAGGTCTGAGCCTTTTTGTCTTCACATCAAGTGACCTTTCCTAGAAGTAGATAACACAGAAAAATCCTTTTTGTCTGTGTTATTGTGTCTAGCACAAATGAGGAAAGAGCGTTGATTTACTCCAACGGATATAATCTTTGAATATTTCTTCTTCAGTTTTCAGCAAGTTCTTCAGAATCTGAATGGATCTGAGTCTTCTAATGATGTTCAGAACTTTGCTGTATCAGAGTC